CAAAAAACAAACAAACAAACAAACCCTCCAGAAAGTAGGCACAGGGAATTTTCCTCAACATAATAAAGGCCATATATGACAAACCCACAGCCAACATCGTCCCCAGTTGTGAAAAACTGAAAGCATTTCCACTAAGATCAGGAACAAGACAAGGTTGCCCACTCTCACCACTCTTATTCCACATAGTTTTGGAAGTTTTAGCCACAGCAATTAGAGAAGAAAAGGAAATGAAAGGAATCCAAGTCAGAAAAGAAGAAGTAAAGCTGTCACTGTTTGCAGATGACATGATACTATACATAGAGAATCCTAATGATGCTACCAGAAAACTACTAGAGCTAATCAATGAATTTGGTAAAGTAGCAGGATACAAAATTAATCCACAGAAATCTCTGGCATTCCTATACACTAATGATGAAAAATCTGAAAGTGAAATCAAGAAAACACTCCCATTTACCATTGCACCATAAAGAATAAAATATCTAGGAATAAACCTAAGGAGACAAAAGACCTGCTTGCAGATAATTATAAGACACTGATGAAAGAAATTAAAGATGATATAAATAGATGGAGAGATATACCATGTTCTTGGATTGGAAGAATCAACATTGTGAAAATGACTCTACTACCCAAAGCAATCTACAGATTCAATGCAATCCCTATCAAACTACCACTGGCATTTTTCACAGAACTGGAGCAAAAAATTTCAGAATTTGTATTGAAACACAAAAGACTTCGAATAGCCAAAACAATGTTGCAAGCAAAAAACGGAGCTGGAGGAATCAGGCTCCCTGATTGTATACTATAAAACTACAGTAATCAATACAGTATGGTACTGGCACAAAAACAGAAATATAGATCAATGGAACAGGATAGAAAGCCCAGAGATAAACCCATGCACATATGGTCACCTTGTCTTTGATAAAGGAGGCAGGAATGTACAGTGGAGAAAGGACAGCCTCTTCAATAAGTGGTGCTGGGAAAATTGGACAGCTACATGTAAAAGTATGAGATTAGATCACTCCCTAACACCATACACAAAAATAAGCTCAAAATGGATTAAAGACCTAAATGTAAGGCCAGAAACTATCAAACTCTTAGAGGAAAACATAGGCAGAACACTCTATGACATAAATCACAGCAAGATCCTTTTTGACCCACCTCCTAGAGAAATGGAAATAAAAACAAAAATAAACAAATGGGACCTAATGAAACTTCAAAGCTTTTGCCCAGCAAAAAGACCAAAAGACAACCCTCAGAATGGGAGAAAATATTTGCAAATGAAGCAGCTGACAAAGGATTAATCTCCCAAATTTTCTAGCAGCTCATGCAGCTCAATAACAAAAAAATAAACAACCAATCCAAAAATGGGCAGAAGACCTAAATAGACATTTCTCCAAAGAAGATGTACAGACTGCCAACAAATATATGAAAGAATGCTCAACATCATTAATCATTAGAGAAATGCAAATCAAAACTACAATGAGATATCGTCTCACACTGGTCAGAATGGCCATCATCAAAATATCTGGAAACAATAAATGCTGAGTGTGGAGAAAAGGGAACACTCTTGCACTGCTGATGGGAATGTGAATTGGTACAGCCACTATGGAGAACAGTAGGGAGGTTCCTTAAAAAAAAAACTACAAATAGAACTACCATATGACCCAGTAATCCCACTACTGGGCATATACCCTGAGAAAACCATAATTCAAAAAGAGCCATGGGGCTTCCCTGGTGGCGCAGTGGTTGGGGGTCCACCTGCCCATGCAGGGTATGCGGGCTCGTGCCCCGGTCCAGGAGGATCCCACGTGCCGCGGAGCGGCTGGGCCAGTGAGCCATGGCCGCTGAGCCTGCGCGTCCGGAGGCTGTGCTCCGCAACGGGGGAGGCCACGGCAGTGAGAGGCCTGCGTACCACAAAAGAAAAAAAAAAGAACCATGTTCCAAAATGTTCATTGCAGCTCTATTTACAATAGCCAGGGGATGGAAACAACCTAAGTGTCCATCATAGGATGAATGGATAAAGAAGATGTGGCACATATATACAATGGAATATTACTCAGCCATAAAAAGAAATGAAATTGAGCTATTTGTAATGAGGTGGATGGACCTAGAGTCTGTCATACAGAGTGAAGTAAGTCAGAAAGAGAAAGACAAATAATGTATGCTAACACATATGTATGGAATTTAAGATAAAAAAATGTCATGAAGAACATAGGGGTAAGACAGTAATAAAAACACAGAGCAACTGGAGAATGGACTTGAAGAAATGGGGAGGGGGAAGGGTAAGCTGTGACAAAGAGAGAGTGGCATGGACATATATACACTACCAAACGTAAAATAGATAGGTAGTGGGAAGCAGCCGCATGGCATAGGGAGATTAGCTCGGTGCTTTGTGACCACCTAGAGGGCTGGGATAGGGAGGGTGGGAGGGAGGGAGACGCAAGAGGGAAGAGATATGGGAACATATGTATATATATAACTGATTCACTTTGTTATAAAGCAGAAACTAACACACCATTGTAAAGCAATTATACTCCATTAAAGATGTAAAAAAAAAAATTACAAAAAAAGTTTTATGTATAAGGATGTATATAATTATAAAAAAGTCTACAATTCTTAAATGTGCAACAATAGGGAAATGAATTCTGTTGTTTTCTATACTAAAATTTGATGCAGAACCACCTGTATAAGACTCACCCACTTAGTTTGAGATCCACTAATCTGTACATTGAATTTTTTTAACCATTAAAAATTGTAGTTAGTATGCAATATTTTCCCCATAAATGTGTACCAAATGCTAGCAGAGTGTTGTTGGGATTTTTTATACTTTTATTTTGCAATCTTGATATAATGCGTAGTTATTACTTATACAACTATTAAAAGTTTTGTATGTTAAAAAAGAGTAACTTTATTTATTTTTTCCACCAACGCTCTTTATTGTCCATCTCTTTGACAGTGGCCATTCTAGTAGGCGTGAGTGGCGTCTCACTGTGGTTTTGATTTGCATTTCCCTGATAATCAGTGATGCTGAGCATCTTTTCATGTGCTTGTGGGACATGAGTCTATCTTCTTTGAAGAAATGTCAATTCAGATTCAAAAAAGAGTAACTTTAGAGTTACCTGTTTGATCTTCCATGACTGTAAGCATTTCTAATGGGTTAAATCTTATTTTTATTTGCAATTTATGTCAGAGTAGCAGTTACCAAAACAGAAGAAATGACGGGGTAAATTTTTGAAATGAGTGTACTGCCAACTACAAGCATGTGAGGCCAGGTCTCATTCCTGAAAGAGGATTATTCAAGCAAATTCCTCAGATAATTCATATCAGTAAACTACTTTGCCTGAGTTCCTTGCATAACTATAAGGAAAGTATAACCTTATCTTAACTAAGTAGAGTATTTTAATGTTAGAAATCTCGTCCAAATTGTCATTTTTTTTTCTTTTTGCGGTACGCGGCCCTCTCACTGTTGTGGCCTCTCCCGCTGCAGAGCACAGGCTCCGAACGTGCAGGCTCAGCGGCCATGGCTCATGGGCCCAGCCGCTCCGCGGCATGTGGGATGTTCTCAGGCCGGGGCACGAACCTGTGTCCCCTGCATTGGCAGGCGGTCCCTCAACCACTGCGCCACCAGGGAAGCCCAAATTGTCATTTTAAATAAGACAGTTTCTTTTGATTTAAAACCTGTCTTTTGCCTGTTTTTTTCTATTAGGTTGTTGTTTTTTTATTCTATAAATGAAATTTGAGAGTTATTTGTATATTGTATGCTATGTCCCTCTATCAGAGAATGCATCCACCAACATATATATATTGCAAATATATTCGTCAACTTTAAAACTTATCTTTTCACTTTCCTGTGGGTGGTTTTTAGTAAAGTGGCATTCTTAATTTAATTTTTCTTGAATTTATCAATCTTTTAATTTAAGGTATACATCTATCTCTTGTTTAATAAGTCTTTCCCTACCTTGAGGTTATACGGATAATTTTCCTATAATTCAAATTTTAAAACTTTTCCATTCTTATGTCACTAATTTAGCAGGAACTGAGTTTTGAATGTGGTGTTAGTTTGAAATATTTCACTAAAAAGATTTTGTATTTGGATATTTAAAAAGAAGTAATATATTATTAAAAAAACCAGAAACCAAAGAAAAGTGATATACCAAAATAAGTCTGCCTTCTATTCATGATTCCTGGTGTTTTCTTTCTCAGTTAAATATTGTGCTTTTGTACTTCTAAAGTAGGCTTTAAAAATTCTTAGCTCCCTAGGTAATTATTTAATTCTCGTAATTTTCTTGGAAATAATGTACCAATTTTTTTTTTTATTAATTTTTATTTATTTTTGGCTGCGTTGGGTCTTCATTGCTGCGTGCGGGCTTTCTCTAGTTGCAGTGAGCGGGGTCTACTCTTCGTTGCAGTGCACGGGCTTCTCGTTGCGGTGGCTTCTCTTGTGGAGCACAGGCTGTAGGTGCGCAGGCTTCAGTAGCTGTAGCACGCAGGCTCAGGGGTTGTGGCTCGCAGGCTCTAGAGCACAGGCTCAGTAATTGTGGCACACAGGCTTAGTTGCTCCGCGGCATGTGGGATCTTCCCAGACCAGGGCTCAAACCCGTGTCGCCTGCATTGGCAGGCGGATTCTTAAGCGCTGCATCACCAGGGAAGTCTTACTATACCGATTTTAAGAGAGTATTATGCTCTGGAAGGGAGTAGAAAATTTTGAGGTGATTTTTTTTTCCTGATTAAACTAGAGTTTAAGACTACCATAAATTTTTGACATGCCATTAAATGTGACTTTCTTAGTAGGAGCTAAGATGTAATCAAGAAGTTCTGAGATATGAAAACAAAGAATGTATAGTTATTACCTCTCAAGCTTTATTTTGTTTTACAGAGTTATGAAATAAGTACTTTAATGTATGAGTTAAGAAATATAATTGAATGAGGGTATATGTTGTGATTTATTCAATTGTATGTTTGACTGATTCTCCACATCCTCAAGAATGCTCTGTTTCCAGGGGTCCTGCCAGAGCAAGAACCATGGCTTATTTTGGGGAAGGAAAAGGACCCATCCACGTGGATAATGTGAAGTGCACAGGAAATGAGAGGTCCCTGGCTGACTGTATCAAACAAGACATCGGAAGACACAACTGCCGCCATGGTGAAGATGCAGGAGTTATTTGTGATTATTTTGGCAAGAAAGCATCAGGTAACAGTAATAAAGGTAAGTCACCTTCTGGGGCCTATACAAGTCAAAGAATACAAAGCCACACTTCATTATTCTAAGCAGTACTTTGATAATGAAACTCCCCTCCATAAGAATATACTCAAGCCCTTGTTCCTTCTGCTAGTATTTAGAGGCAGTGTTTCTTGACAAACTTTACTGGATGGGACTCACAGGGGAGAGCACGGTTCAGGGGCAGGAGTGGATTTACAGGATTTTGTAATCTCTGAGATTGTCCCGTTTTGACATTCTTAGCCATTTTTAACCGTTCCTTCTCTGGATGTAATAAAACTATCAAACTTGCTGGTATTCTTGAAGATTCAGAATTTATATTTGCTTCATAAAAAGAAGAAATGAAAATTTAAAGATGAATCAGAGAAGGGCACTTCTTCCACGCTTATTAATATCTTAAACAGCAAGGATAATTTTTAAAATTCATTGCAAAAAGAAAATTATCTTTTGTAGATTCTACTCTCTGAAATTTAAAAATGTAAGGGGGGACTTCCCTCGTGGCACTGTGGATGGGACTCCGTGCTCCCAATGTGGGGGGCCCGGGTTCGATCCCTGGTCAGTGAACTAGATCCCACATGCATGCTGCAACTAAGAGTTCGCCTGCTGCAAGTAAGGAGCCTGCGAGCTGCAGCTGAGGAGCCTGCCTGCTGCAATTAGGGAGCCCGTGAGCTGCAACTAAGGAGACTGCCTGCCGCAGCTAAGACACGGCACAACCAAATAAATAAATAAATAAAATTTAAATAAAAATAAAAATGTAAGGAAAATAGAAGTAATCTTCTAGTATAATAAAGTAATGCATGTGTCATACATATATAAAGAGAAGAGTTCTTAAAAGCTCTGAGTTTAATTTTTATGAAACAAATACAGGTTTAAAGGAATAAGGGGGAAAACTAGCTCTTTTGGAGAAAACTATGGTTATGTTTTATGAAAAGAACAGTCATTTATTTATGTGGATTAAGAATCCATGGTTTTGATACTTAAGATTTCCTTAAAATGAAGTGCATCTAGGGCTTCCCTGGTGGCGCAGTGGTTGAGAATCTGCCTGCCAATGCCGGGAACATGGGTTCGAGCCCTGGTCTGGGAAGATCCCACATGTCGTTTAGCAGCTGGGCCCGTGAGCCACAATTACTGAGCCTTCACGTCTGGAGCCTGTGCTCCACAACAGGAGAGGTTGCGATAGTGAGAGGCCTGCGCACCACGATGAAGAGTGGTACCCGCTTGCCACAACTAGAGAAAGCCCTCGCACAGAAACAAAGACCCAACACAGCCATAGATAAATAAATAAATTTATTTATTTAAAAAAAATCAAGTGCATCTATATCTGAGCATTCTCTTTTTCTAGCATCTTTTAATAACCATTAAAGACAATGCAATAAATAAATTGGATGTTGTTTATATGATTCTTCACTACCTGAGGGTCTTTTGAGTGTGGAGAAGAATATTTATAACCCTTTGTGCTTTGTTTTATATATATATATATTATATATACACACACATATATATTACATGAAATAAATATGATTTGGTAAGCCAATTTTTCCTAACTATTGACTATAATTTAATGTATTAAATTCCCTCCAATAATTTAAACTACAGTTACAAAGTGAACATAATTAATTCTTTGGATTATGGAAAATTTCTTAAGCAGCAGAAAAGCATAAAAATTCAGTAATTGTAAAATGTTCTACGATAGTTCTATGTAAACCTATTTTAAAATATGAAATACCATATTTATTTCTTCATTATTAATAATTTGTTTTAATGCCTTCCAAAGGTGTAGCACTGCTTATTTTGATACCTTTCCATGGTCTTAATGCTACCATATCTGAAATTAAAAAATTTCCTCTTAGACCAGCTGGATTACTGAATCTGGTTTATTATTAACCTGTTGACTTTGTGTGGAGGCTCAAGACCTAATAACTTCCATAAGGTGATTCAAACCCAAGCCATTGGTTATTGGTCATCTGATGGGATCCTTTTATAAATGAATTTCATTTTACTTTATAATTTTTTTATAATAATGGGTTTTGGGCTTCCCTGGTGGCGCAGTGGTTGAGAGTCTGCCTGCCAATGCAGGGGACACGGGTTCGTGCCCCGGTCTGGGAAGATCCCACATGCCGCGGAGCGGCTGGGCCCGTGAGCCATGGGCGCTGAGCCTGCGCGTCCGGAGCCTGTGCCCCGCAACGGGAGAGGCCACAACAGTGAGAGGCCAGCGTACCGCAAAAAAAAAAA